AAAAAAACCCGCAATAATCTAAGTTAAGATCAGGTTTTTCACTTTGAAGGACATTTGGTTATTCTTAATCACAATGGAAAAGATTTGTTTTCAAAGAGTCTCAATATATATTTATACATATTATTACATTTTTATAATCATATTTAAAATAACGAGAACAAATTTATGTTTTTACGAACAGAGTCCAATTGTGAGTAACAACAGAGATCACGCTTAGCTATATGCACATTATGTAGTGAGGAATGGATTATTTATATGTATCAATTACATATCAGAAAGAGAAAGAAGAAATTTCTAGTTTAATATGTGCCGTTGGAAATGATATCGTTTTCATGCACGTTAGTATGGGATAGCTAGCATAATGTAATCCGAGAGTTTTGATCAGCAGTAGATGGACTAGTTATGCAACATTTCCGAATGGTATACCATGGAATATCGCACGAGTCACTTGTAATTTAAAAGGGCTTTTTACCGAGAAAATACAAGTGGCAAGTGGGATATTTTATGGTATACCACTAGAAAGCATGGCATAACTTTTTAATACCGTGCCATACGTAAAAAATTCAATGCATGACCACCACAATCGATGCAACATACGTGCAGCGCACGGTGGGAAGGTTGCATGGAAGGTTGCATGTACATGTCGGTCCAATCATTTTCCTCAAGTGTTCCTATAAAATATACACTTTAATGAGTAGACAATGTCGAGCAAGCTAATTAATTTATTTGTTGGTGGTTGTTTTTTTTCTTTGCTAATCTTTATTTATATTTTATTATAATTTCATGTTTAAAGATAAGTTCCATCTAATAAACTACAACAACATATTTTACACTTACAATACACACTTACAATAAACTACTTAAAATACCTACGAAAAATTACTTACAATACAATTAGCAACTTACAATTCATTACGTACAATAAACTAATTATGTATACATGTAATTCTAACGCCGTAAGCATTAGCCTGCCACATATACTACATTTCATACATTAGCTTACATTACATGTACATGTAGCAGGCTAATGCTTATAGGGCGTTAGAATCGGATTCAATAACTGCCAAGGTTCACTTTGCTGTGTTCTTGGGCAATACACTATAATCTCCGAGCAAATTGCTTCCTTGCTTTTTGCTTGCTTGTTTGCATAAAAAGATATTCTTCGACGCCTGTCTTCTAACTATCGAAGGCATCTAGGGAAAGTTTACAAACATAAACTAACGCCTATGTTTAGGCCCTGCTAGCGGCTATTTCGACCCAAACCACAACGATTTGGCTGGATTTACCAAATGGAACAGGTGAACCTGTGAAATATTAACAACAGGAGTGACAAACCTCAGATTCCAGATTGCCGCTCTTTAGTTTAGTGTTAAAAATAATTTTAAAATGTTGATAAATTGCTTCCTTGTTTCATTCTTTCATTTATTCATTCATTCATTCATTCATTCATTCATTCATTCATTCATTCACTCGTTCACTGAATTTGAACTGTTTATAATAAACCCTTCAGAGTATTTTAGCTTAATGTCTTGCTGTACAGCCAACGATCACCTTATATCAACATTTTTATTTTTTCCCTGACTACCTCTAACCATTGGAGCAACAAGACCAACTACAATCAACTACAATCTTGCAGGAGGCATTATAGGGTTTGACCTACAAGAGACCAACTTACCGACCTACTGGAAACGAGGCAGATGGCAGGCTCCTTCCGGATAGTGGAGAAAATTACATCGAGACCAGGAATACATACTGTTTCAATGATAAGCACAACAACAAATCTTCGAAGAAACAGCTTCAAAAGCATTCAATACACCTTTAAAGTAGCAAGAACATGCCTCAAGTTTTGGTAAATTGGTGCGGAGATCTAGCATGGCAGATCCATTCATTAGAACTAAATGCAATGATAAGCCAGACAAAATTAAATATCTTCGTAGACACAGTTTCTAATTAAAGCGTTGAATACATTAATTTTTGATTGAATTTGTAGTACGATATTGCTTAAAGTTTTAGTACTTTGGCGCGGAGACTTGGTACGGTATATTCATTGGTTATGACTAAAACATGGTCTTACTGGGAGGGCTGACCGTGTTTGCCGAACTTAACCTGCAACTTTTAAGGTTGCTTTTAAGAGTCGTGCTTTGGAGAGCAGTTTAGACTTTTTTATCGACTCATTTTTTTTTTTTTTTGATCTATGTAGCGTTTATATCTTTTACTTTGATTGTTGTTGATTGTGGGCAACCATTTTTACTGGAGTGAATAAGAAAGTTACTATTATTAATTCTAGATCGACACACGTACATATGATTTCGTTTTTATAATGTGGAATTAGCTGGGAGAAGAACTCTAGGGAAGTGGTAAGGAGTAGCTGAGACTGAAATAGCTGCTTAACAGAATCAGATGTGGCAATTTGATGAGCCATTCATCATAAATCTGATAAATATTCAATTTACAGCTGCAAAATTAGATTTTACTCCTCCAGAATCGTTTATTGTAAACAAATACGTGAAACGTAACTGTAACTTACCAAGGATCGAAATATTTCCACACTGAACATGATGGTATTGTGAACTCAATCTCGCTGCCCTCCTTTAAATTTAGCTTTTTAAAAATGTTACGTTCCTTATAAATAGTCCATCATTAGTCTGTATAGTGTGATCGTCCTCCGTGCCAGTGTTAGGTATCCTACATCGGCGAGACTGGCAGAAGCCTTAACACGCGATTGACTGAACACAAACGAGCAACGAGAAACGGCGATGCCAACAATCACATTGCTGAACATCAACTGAGAAACAACAATATTGAGTGGGACTCTGCTCAATGCTTAACCTACAGTGCAAATTATTTTTAACGACTGACTCTGGAAAGCTGGTGCACTAACTTAGAACATACGCCTCCTAACATATTTTAACCACCAGCGGAACCTTACAAACGACTTATTCACGACATAAACGAAACGTAATTTGGTTAACAATATACGGATCAAAACTTGTTAGAATCGCGGACCAATTACTGTTGATAAACTTGGTAAACATGGCCGAGAGTTGCTGAACGAATTTTTCTTTTATTCGGAAGACATCACCTTAAGCCAAGGATATTTCAAAACATGGAGAATTTTTAAAATGACCGCTGTCACCCTTGGACCAAAAAGCCTTTCAAGAACTCGTATTCAAGGAATTTAATAACCGTAAATTAAACGCATTGGTTATGTTGATCGCCAACAGGTCAGATCAATTGACCGAAATTTATTTTTCTTCAAACTAAAGCTATCCATTTTTCAGAAGGTAATGACAACCGTGAATGAAGTCAACAACCATAAAACAAAGGTACTGGATGAAATTAATTTTGGTAGTGTTTTGCTTGCTTGCCTTACTGCATGTCGAACTCGATGAGTAAATTGATTCACAATCGATGTAAATGTACGCTTATTATTAGAACTACGGCTGCATACGTGTATGCAATGCGTCTGTGTTTTTAAGTTTTAGGCCGTCATTCCGAAGTCCTCGTTGCCTAAGGCTCAGTGAGCATTAGTGAATATTAACCTCGACTCTGTCGCGATGAATATTCACCAATGTTCACTTCGCCTTCGGCGAATTATTGTTAAATATTCAGCAAACCAACTCGTAAACCAACTTTGAAATAATCAACTTCCACAGACTTTGTGATCGACCAATCGCTGCTCAAAGAAAAGTAATCGTAACAAGGGTAATTGACGATAAAAAAATATTTTTCCCTTTTGCTGATATAAAAGAAATTCCTGTTTTATAAACCGCTAAAGAGGTTACAGTTACGAGGTCCGTATTGTAAGCTACGGACCGAGATTTGTTACTTTTTGATTCATGGCCAACCTCGAAAAGCGCGGGACCTAAATCAAAGGAGAAAAACGAGGATCCCTAACTTACTTTCATAAACGTTATGCGTTTGCACGAGTGAAAAGACAAACTCCTTACCGAGTGTAACTCAGCCAATAACCTTGCAAATTTCATACTTGCTTACACACTTCGTTGTCTGATGAAAAGTTTTTTTTTTTTTTCTTTCAAAGTAAAGTTCAACAAGGAAGGTCATCTCGATATAATCTACGCAAGTTAATTGACAGACACTAAGGCAAAAAATTGAGGATTGTTTTATTGAAAGCCATCTTCTAGTTTGTTGTTCTTCATCAAGGTTATTGCGAAATGAACTTGCATTGTTTGATATACAGTATGAAATAAATGAACTTAAATTAGAATAAATAGTTTGAACACTAGACTTCCAGTGGACTCCATTTCCTCGTGGATTACAAAGCGAAAAAGTGAAGACATCGAGTGATAACAGCTGTGGCTGCGCAAAAAATTTAGGGCGCCATAGCTTATTCAAATTACCTTTCTTTCCCAGTGATTTTTTGTGTTAGTCTGTAATCTTTGACAGCATAGACAACGCTAAAAAATAAACATATAAGCAAACCCGCAAGAGGACACTCGAGAAATTTCGACAATGACAGCACTGTCGTTGCTCGAGATTGCCAAAGTGAAGTAAATTGCTTTTCATGTCGTTCTGTTTGACCGCATTTGAAAAAGAGAAGAAAATAAGTCCATTACTCTTCTGTTCTCAGTGTAAATTAATATTGTTCTTATTGACTTTGCAACAGAATTCCTTTCAACATTTATAATATCCACGGCAATTTCCCTACTCCAACATCAATAACACTGTTTCGGCGGAAACAATAAAGCGGCAAAAACCTATATACATGCAAAACAGTCTATTTCATTACAGTGTTTGGTGCCCCTGTTCAACAGCTGCTGCTGGCTATGTTCAATGCCTTTAACCTGTCTTATTTCAATTTTTAACAGAATTTGTCGCCAAGTTTCAAAAGAAATAACGCATCAACTCGACTATGTATGAGGTCAACATGA